ATTCAGTTCTCATAATCGACACAGTCCATGTGTATAATAATACTATACACTGAATTAATGCACTAAGTGAAACATTAAGGAAATTTAAACGAGTGATTGCCTTCTCCACTGCACTGCACTTGCAATTATCATGAAAACCACCTACGTTTGCTAGCCAAGCAGTCAGCTAAGGAGACAATGACACAATATTTCCACAGAAGGTTCTATTAGCATTTACAGGTGATTTCCAAGTACTAATAGAATTCTTTTGTCAAAAAGGACTGTTTTTCACACGGAAATAGGCTGAATTATTATCCTGAGACGTGAAGTCTCCATTGAATGATACCATGCCGAAAGGTGCAGCATCTAAATACAGTAGACTATTTGTGTATATGACATTACCCTTCAACTATCCTATCTTTCTCATTATAGCGATATTTTGCTGCAGTTCGCCTGAAACACTGATCGTTGCAACCAATATGCTGGGGGGTGTCAGATTCAGATTCAGATTGTAAGGATAGAAGGCTCTTGTTGCCTATGTTAATCCTCGCGATATATACCTCTGCCGAGATCCAGTTTCTCTTTGAAAGAGTTCACCGATGGAGCTGTTACTACTGAATCAGGTAAGGAGTTCCAGTCGTTGACCGCTCTGTGAGAGAATCTAAACTCCAAACGTATTTTATTCGACCTTGGTTTGAGCACCTTCCTCTGGTGACCCTGTAAATGTATTCTAGAGGGAGAGAAAAGGTTTGAAAGGTCAATCCCTAAATCACCCTTGAATATACGGTAAGCCAAAATTAAGTCGCCTCTCCTCCTTCGATGTGATAATGGGAAGAGATTCAAATGCTCCATCCTCTTATCATAAGGAAGGTGTGAGATGCCATTAACTAATTTTGTTCCTACCCTCTGTACTCTTTCCAGGGTATGTGCCTCCTTTTTGAAGCATGGACTCGCCGCTTGTATACAGTACTCTAGATGAGGCCTGACATATATATATTTATTCCTGTTTATGCAGGAACATATCAATTGTACAGGCATGGATAAGTTATTATATAAATTACAGTTTGTTTGTTCAATCTAACATTAGAGTCAGTCAGAACAGTCTGCAAAATAGTCTGTCTGTGTAACACATAAAGAGATATAGAAATATTGTCTTCGCATTAACAAAAAACCCAGACTTCAGATGAATGTGATACAAATATCTGGGAAAAATAAAGCTTGAAGTCAATTCTCCTATATGTTGCATAGAGTACTTGGAACATGCCCTCGTCTAATCGTTTGAAAGATCTTCGAAGTGCCCATAGCATCCGAAAAGCCTTAGCCGCGGCTCGATTGCAGTTCGCCGTTGTTTTTGAGTCATGGCTAACAATAATTCCTAAGTCCTTTTGTTCCCTAACATCTGGCAGTTCTGTGTCCCCCATGGAGTACGACGTGTAAGACTTCTGACCTAGGTGCATTACGGCGCTTTTCTTGGAATTAATTTCCAGACTCCAAAGGTTAGCCCATTCGGTTAATTTGTCTAGATCGTTTTGTAGTACCAACCTATCATCGCTACTATTTACGGTTTTCCATATCTTAATATCGTAAGCAAATAGTAAGGAAGATGAGGTAAGAATTTTTGGCACTTCATTTACGTATAATAGGAATAGCAGGGGGCCAAGTACAGTTCCCTGAGGTACTTCACTTAGTACAGCTTTCCATCCTGACAGTACACCATTAACCCTTGCCTTCTGCCTTCCATCCATCAGGTAGTCACTAAACCACTCGCATAAGCGTTGGTCTAATCCAAAATGTTTAAGTTTACTAAGAAGACCTAAGTGGGATACCTTATCGAATGCTTACTAAGATCGATAAATACAACGTCCAGTAGATGGTTTTTATCCCTGGCCTCGACCCAATCTTCCCTAGCTAACAGTAAGTTTGTCAAGCAGGATCGCCCTGGTCGGAATCCAATGCTGTTCCACTGCCAGTAAGCCATGCTTTTCCGTATGAGCTAAGAGCTGGTCCCTTATGAGTTTGTCTAACACCTCTGCTATAATGCAGGTCAGACTTACAGGCCGCTAGTTAGATACTAACTGTCTATTCCCATCTTTGAAGATGGGGCTTATAAAAGCATCTTTCCAGTCTCTGGGTAACCTAGCCTGGGTCAGAGACATCTGAAAAATCTCCGTAAGTGGAATGTATATTATATCCGCCAGGGAGCTTAGCAATCTAGGGTGAAGTCCGTCTGGTCCAGGCTATTTACCTGGTTTCAACTTACACAGTAGTTTCAGAACCATTGCATCATCTACCACAATTGGGGGCATTTTAGGGGCTACACCAGTTACCTCGCGACACCCCTGGGTGGTACGATTAGACGAAAAAACATCACAGAAATATTCGGAGAGCTCCTCAGCTTTTGTTTCGTCTGATTCTGCAGCCTCTCCTGTGTTGCTAATGAGGGACGGTATGCCACTACTAGTTTTAGTCCTACGTTTGATATACGAGAACAGTCTTTTTGGATGATGCACACAATCCAGTACTAACTGTCTCTCATACTCTATACGACTTCTGTCAATCTCATACTTGCAAAGGTTTCGAACTTTGCGGTATTCTACCCGAAACTCATCCCTTCCAGTCACAGCAAACCGGTCCCATAAGTTCTTTCGTTTTCTTAGTAACCTCCTTATTTCATTACTAATCCAAGGTGGTTTATGAGATAATTTTTGAGGCGTAGACCAAGGTACGAAGGGTGCAGTGACGCACTCTAGTGTATTCCTAAATCCCATCCAAGCCTCCTCGACAGTCTGGTGTGTGTTAACAGACCAGTTAGCTAGGGTTGCTGCATTTCGGATTGCAGGTATATTCGCTTTCCAAACGTTTGGGCGAGCGGCTGTTGACCTATGTATGACGGCCTGGATCCTGAACATAAAAGTAATAACTATGTGGTCACTACTGCCTAGCGGCGCCAGCCACCTAATGTTACCAACATCCTCCTTCTGGTGTGTTAGCACCAAGTCTAGAGTGGACGGATCATGTTCAGGATGGTATCTTGTTGGTGCATCCATATGCTGCAGAAGTGCGCATCCAAGTACTGCCAGTATTAGTTCCCTATTGAAACAATTGTACGAAGTAGTTGATGTTAATTCCTCCCACTACTATCACCTACTATTAGACACCTATTCTTTCTGCTCCACGTCCTGAGGTGATTTATAACGAAATTGTCAGCTTGACTGGTAGGACTTCTATAAATAACCCCTATCGTTACAGTGCCTTTGTTCAAGTTAATGACACAACCTGCTGCTTCACAGGTGCCACTGTCATGAGCTTCCGGCAACGTCGACCTAATTCCTGTCATCTCGAATGTATAGAGCGACCCCCCACGTTTCCGGCTACTTACTCTGTCTGCTGTAATGCACATGTACCCAGGTATGAGTGGAGTTAAGTCTATACCCATTAGCAACCATGTTTCGGTGATAGCAACCACATCCGGCTGTAGTTCCTTAGTCAACACTCCTAGTTCAGGAAGCTTATTCCTAAGACTACAAGCGTTCGTGTAGCATACTGAGACCTGTGTTCACTCGACTTATGAACAGAGGTCTGGGTAACATAGGTTTCTGAGACCTCACTACCCGAAAACCCAACAGTTTGATGTCTTTTTCACCTTTTTCTAATCGGGCCTTTAATTCAGCCACAGCTTCTCTTCTCCTAATTCTATCTTCCAAAGGCCAGTCTGGCCTGATTCTCATCTTTTTTATTCTTGATCTTGAATGCGTTGTTGAGAATAATAGTTTTCTCCATCTCGTTCCCCAGTGCCACCTTCAGCAGTTGTGGGGAACTTTCCGTTGCATCGGCGATTCGTTTACCGATTCTGATGACTTTCCTTATGTGAACACCATTCTCTTTTTCCGGAAGTATTTCACGGATGATGGAGCTAACTATTTCGAGGTCGTCAGCATGTCGAACAGCTGGATCTACCTTCTTCGATTCCTCCAAAATCCAAATTACTATTCTGTAATTTGAGTCCGAAGGTTTAATCTTGTCAGTGTTTACGGCCGTTGAGACCTTATCACTAACCACAGTACTTTTCTCTTTCCTGTGATTCTTGAGCTTCCTACTCTTCGGCACTAGCCAGGTGGAGTCAGATGGTTCCACTTTACTCTCGCCGCAATTGGAAGCTGTGCGTTCACCAGACACGCAACGCTTCATCGCTGTGGTATCACCCTGCTGTCTTACAATGTTGGCACTGTTTGCCCTCCTAGGTTTTCGGGGCTTTCTACGTGCTATTGCAGACTGCTGGGCACACTTCACCTCTGTTGCTTCTTTCGAAGTTAGGGGATGTGGTTCTGCCTTAGTTTTATGACTAAGGTCAGAATCCTCGTTTATAACATCTGTACTAGATGTTGCATTTTTCCCCTCATCAGAGGTTTTTGGTAACTTCTTCGACATGAGAAGTCCTACGGCCTCTTGGACGAGGACATCCAACGGGTTTGCACAAAATTTGCACATCCATGGAGATGACGGCTTGCTGCTTCTCCTATAGGCTGATGGTGATAAGCCAGTGCAAACTTTATGGAACCATAGGTTGCAGTTATCACACTGCATCCCAACCTCCACCGGAAAGTGGCAGTCCGGTCGTCCACAACTATTTGTGGGATTCATGTCAGTATGAGCTGCTTAAGTTACACACAAATATGTATATATATATATACCTAAATACAGAGATATAAAAACACAAAAGGTCACAAAAGTGCACAAAAATGGACACTACTCTAACTAATTAAACCAGTTAAAGTAAACCAAAAAGCTTCTGATGCGATTTACACAACAAAAGCAGAAGTTACTTCACAATGTAAAAAATGCCACTCTCTTTTTCGAAGCGCGCGCAGTCAGATTACTGGCTGGCCACAAAATGGGAATTCCCATCAATCCAGATAACATATAACACAATTTTATTAAAAAGTATTGACAAAAAAATTTCCAAGTGAAATTTTAACAGCTGTTCTAGAACGTGATATTTAACGCCTACCCAACTTAAGTGTTAAGCATTGAACATTTTAGGTCGCTAACATTTGTGGTCACTTCAAAATATGTTTGATTACCTGTGTTTGACGCTCCTTCTCTTCGTTGGGATATGCAGTGGCCTAGAAGGTACTAAGTTTTTTTGAGTTTTATTCTTTAGTTCGCTGTACGAGTAACGGGACTGTTGAAACCTATGTGTCGGCGGTAAAACTGGAAGGTCTGTCCTACAGCAAGCGTGCAGTGAACTTTTCAGTCCCTGTATCAGTTAAATATGAAATTAAAAACGTTAACGATCCATCTGTTGTAACGCTTTCTTGGGAGCGTGATGGCAGTGAAATATCAGTCAACCGAAGGAAGACAAATGATAAACCCACTATTTCCAGTGATTATACTACAGAAGTATTCTCAGAAAGCACGCATACTTTGGAATTAACTCTGCACTTAAATCCCAAAGGTATAGTGGTTCATGTATTTAATAAGTACTAGATCCTGTTCCGGGAAATTATACTGTTAGTGCAACTGAGGGTGACGTAACATCTTCTGCATCAGGTTTCGTTTATAGTAAGTCTGATTTTACTTGTTTGTGGAGTAATTAATACCTGTGTGCTGATATTACTAGATGCAGCTTTTGGTCATCAATCTCAAGTGCGCTTTGCATAAATCTGACCTCTCACTATTTTGGTTGGGTGTTATGTTCGGTTTGGCACGTGGCCACTAAGTTTATATATGGCTTAACTTCTTAAATATTGTGTTGAAGAAGAAAGTGGCACAAAGTAAGACAAATTCGCCTTTTAGATAACCCAACGACAGACAGGTCTTCGTTAAGTGCAGTACTTAACAGACTGAGACTTGTTAAAAGTAATTAAGAAGTATACATCATAACGGTTCAACGTCATTGATTCAGTGCTAGAACAATTGCCAACCATGTGACAGGTCCGGCGTTCGACCACCAACCGACGCACTCCTCTACCTCTCTTGGCCCGTAGTAAGCACGGTAGAGAAAGAAGGCTGTGTGAGTTTAGCAACCCCATCCCGTGCGTTGGTGGCACAGTGGTTAGGACTCTCGCCGACCATGTATATGGTCCAGGGTTCGATCCCCTGCCGACGCACACCCGATTTCAATGGTCGGCCTGCGAAATTTGGGCTACCGATATCCATGCTGAAAATTCTATACTTGTACTGAAAATACGGTGTGGCATCAAGCTGTAATCAAAAATAAATAAGAAAATTAAATAAATAAGTAAAAATGACTCCACTGCTGCTGAAACTTCAGAGCTCTATGTTCCACTAAGAACGCAAAGGGATAGAACAAAGTAAATAAATGTATTATAATAGTGGTCTCAAAGTATGTTTAGGTATTACAACTCATATTCGAAAATAAGACTCAATCCATTGTAAGTCGGTATCATTTGGTGTACTACATACATTCTGTAACAGTTATTTAGTTTATTACGTGAAGCGCTTGCGAATTCTGTTACAAAATGGCACCCTAATACACCTAGGGGTGTACATCCACTTAATAAAACCTGAGAAATCGTGCGGCAAACGCAATATTATTTAGCCGTATATGATTCTCTTTAAAACATTGCAACTTTTACAGTGGAGTCATTAAATATTCGTAAACAATACCAATGCTCATTTATTTATGTACAACTTTTTCTAACTTCTCATTCCTACTCTTAAAGGGATTTCGACAAAGATATTGCAGTTATATACAAATTTTAATTTTTTCGATGTATGAAACAATTCTTTTGGTGCACCTTAAACGTGTTTATTAATAGAATTAGCTGTCCAATACAATTCGAAACATGCCGAAAGTTTTGATGAATTAAATCAATTAAAGCACTGAAATTTCTGGGTTATAACACTAACACATACTGAACGATGTGTAACTATGTTGTATCATTAGCTTTCATACGGGGTTTTGATCATACTCTAGTGTGTGTTGAAAAGTGTGACGTATTGTTTCTTTAATTGTGCAGTACATCGTGGAATTTTTTAGTCGAGTAAAGATTGAAAACTTTTTCACCCAACGTTTCAGCCAACTCTCCTAATGAATTCTTGTGGTTCCATCGTTCTTGGAGATCACTTCATGTACCACAGGTTTTCTAGAATATCTGTTCTCAGTGATTCTAAAGAATTAATGGGTATTGCATATCTCTTCAATTTTCCACTTCTTTTACTTTAACTATCCATCAGTATTATAAGTTTCCAGACCGTAGGTGTTACGAACTTCCTGGAATATTTTGAGCGCTGAGTCAGATTGATTCATTATAAAATATAATTTATAATGTATCTATCGGTATTCTTAGTCATTGATGGAAATCCTACTCAGCTTATGTTCGAGCAGCTCCCGCATTTTATTCACTGTCCTCCGGGAACAACCCCATTGTATCCGTTGATGCGGAATGCAGTTGTATAATCCCACTGTGTAATAATGGAGATTTATAGCTCAGGTGAATAATCTCGGTTTAGTTGTGTTCTCTGAGCTGGTTGATTTAACTGCGGAGCTTCTAGACAACATATTCAGTGCAGGTTTTAGTATGAAATGAACTTATTTAAATTCTCCATGAATAGTATTTATTTGTATGTGGATAAAAATTATCAGTGGAGACGTAAATTAACAACCAGTCACGAAAATGATTGTCAGGAGATACAGTTATATCGCCAATCGTGGAGAATTCAAATAAGTTCATTTCATACTAAAACCTTCACTGAAGATATTTTCTAGAAGGGGGACGACGAAAGCTCCGCAATTAAATCAACCAGCTCAGAGAACACAACTAAGCTAAAATAATTCCACTGTGTTTACTAACTTTTCTGGCTTCGCTACTGTTTCCACAAGCGACCAATATGATGCCAAAATTTCTCAAGATGAGTATTTTTATCATTCGTAAGTATGTTTAGTTAGTTATCTCATCATCCGTAAGCTGGACACTTTTCAGCTGGATCATGTAGTATCATATGCCAGTCTCAACATTCGTAACTATTTCCTACTTTAGCTAACATTGATCATTTAAGGAATCTGGCTTGGAATGCATATCACATATTTTTGCCATAATCATTAGAGATTCAGTAGCCCATTGGACTGTTTACCTTCCTTATTTTGACACTTATCAGAACTTTAGATGATCTCCTTTATGTGTCACTCTCGGACCTATACTTCACTTGCTTTCATGTCACTTCACCACTCCAAATGCATTCGCCATCATTCTGTGTTTCTTCCGAAGCACTAATCGCTTCTCTACAGAATAAATGTCGGCGATTAACGAGTAGTGGTGATCTATAATCCATAAAGTACATCATACTGCATACGTCAAAATTGAGATTTCAACACTAGTATCCGATCTCAAAGGGCAGTAAGGTATTTCATTCTCTTCAGTGATATTGAAGTCAGGAAAGCAGCTCTCATCAACACTTGTGACACTAGAAAGCTTGGCATTGTGGGGGAATATGTGAAAGACCTGTTAAGGGGGTACACACGTTGAATGAATAAGAAATACTGTTTATCTGTTTACCACCAGTAATTTCTTTGTAAAGCTTCCATATATTAGAGGACATCAATTTGACTGCGACAACATTCAAATATTAGGCAGGGGAAACACCAAGAATGCTAGAGAATTTTTGGAAGCCTGATATTCCAGTGAATCGGCAATTAACAGGCACATTGACACAAAAAAGATTTACCAATCCATAAGAAGAAGATCTCATGCACAAACGGTTAAATTTCGCGTCAAGAAACCAATCAATACCAATAGAAATGGACTAGAGAATGTGAAAACACACGAAAACAACCAATCATGACATTCAGTGTTACCAGGAGAGATGAACTAATAAACTAGTGGAGAAAGTTAAAGGCTCACTTCAACAAATTGAAGTATGCGCGCTGAGGATGTTGCTTATTAAGGTAATAGAAGCTTGACAAATAAATCATCCAACTCAGAGAACACTACATGAAAAAACTTCAACTCATGATTAACGTGAGTTAGGAATAATAATAATAGTATATTCTCATTATTTTTTACATGAGGGACGCCAGTTTACAGGCATCATCAATTCGATAAATTACACATACGATTAGTAAGTATAGTTAGTAATGATAATATAATAGGGTACATATTTATTCATACAAATATAGGACACACAAGTTGTATAGGAATGGATAAGAATTATTTAAGTTACATATTTAAATTACATGGATTACGGTTTAATAACATGGTTGTTGTCATTTTATCTTTAGTTTGTGGGGAAAATCGGATAACTGGTGATTCAATGGAACACACCAACAAATCTAGAGATACTGACTTCGCATTAACAAAAAAAACCCAAGTATACGTTTGATGGATTACATATACTTGGGAATGAATAACAAGTAGGCGATATGTAGTCACAAAGAATATCAACAGTCTTTATCGGTGTTACGCTAGTAGACAAAGGAATTAGCATCAAAAGAAAATTGTTGACTGTATAGTCATATATGTCCAAACCAAGTTCACTTTTAACAGTTTGAAAAAATTTTGGGCATTAGGTAATATATATAATATTCATTATAATAAAGGTTTTGTATTTCCCAATGAATGAAAAACAAAACGATATCGTAGTTTTTACCGACGTTTCGCTGTTTAATGCTTCTGATAGCTTTATCAAAGTCGTATTAGTAAATCAGAATTTACAAAATCTCAGCGTGTATATAACAACTTAATCATTGTTACTCAGTGTGGGTGCATTTTTGCATTGTCAAATTGACCAATTGGTAAAGATAACAAAACCAGGTGTAGATTGTTGGATTTGATAAGCGTGTAAAACTATAAAAGCAGCATGTGTTTACATAATGAAGTTGCTTACCACACCCATGTTGATTTTGTCATTTCATGGGGGAGTGACGTGTTGTAACCACGTCAAGTTCTGTTTTAGTCCATTCCTATTCAGACAATTCTGATTCCAATTGATATGAAGTGCTTCCGATATCAGACATTCTTTGTGATTTCTGAAATTCCTCTGGATGTTGATTTCAATATTGTCAAAATCAATTTTGTGGCCTGATTCTACAGCACAGCGTGTAGACCTATAAGTGATGATTTATCAAGCTTTTGTAGTTCACCTGGATTCCTCAGTGGTCGAATAGATGCTCTACGGTGTTCATTTCTTCTGATTTTGATTTCTCTCTGGTGATATTTGTCCGATGTATATCGCATCACATTCCAAGCATTTTATTTCATAGACACAATTAGGTAGAGAATTTAATCATAAGTAAAAACACAGTTTTTTGTTCAGCGAAGAAATTTCTTTTCAACGACTTCATTTTCAAGCTGTACAGTCGTATTTATATTACAGAGAAAAGGTTATTAAGTGGCACTAAATAATTGCTCAGTCAATATACATATATAAGTGATAAGAATAACGATAATTAAAATGTTATAAGGGGTAGAGTTGAAGTGGATAAATTACAAAATTAATAAAGATTGTTTTATAAATGAATTGAAATCAAAAATGTTTTAAAAATGTCAAGTGTTGTCTAAAGATTTTAAAAAATTAGGAGTACGATTACGATAAGAATGAAGATGTGAAGTGAAGTGGAAAGAATTCAAGTAGTAAAATAAAATAAAGTAAAAACTAGAAAGAACATTACTATGACCAAGGTAAAGAAAGGGGTTTGACAAAACGTTTTTGAACACATAATTTAGGTTTCTGTTCATGTATAGCTAAAGCTTCGGCTATGCATAAGTGAAGAAAAAGTAAGCTTTTGGATCGATTCGATTTTGCCATGTAGATAGCTTTGGAAGATGAATCACGTGGGGCTAAATGACCTGACTCTAACAGGTGATCACAAATACACGACTTCGCAGTTCTACGTTCGCCTTTCATTAACCAGACAGAATAGTGTTCAGCTACACGTTTTCGGAGATTACGCTTACAACGTCCAATATAAACAGCTCCACAAGAGCAGGTAAAAGAGTAAATACACATAGATGTGAACAAAAGCGGTAATCTATCCTTGACGCATTGTCTAATCATATTTTGGCTGGTAAAAACTAGTTTCAAGTCAGCTGCAGGAAAAGTGCGTTTAATACACTTAGATAAACGATTTTTAATCAATTCCGAAACGTTATCACCTTTGAATGCCAGACTCATAAACAGTTTTTTCTTTGGCACTGTGATTTGTCTAGGGCCGGATTCTTTTTTGATGTTACATTCGATAAACCTTGTAGGATAACCATTGTTAAGGAGAATTTAATCACAAAGAACGTCTAATATCGGAAGTACTTCATATCAAGTGGAATCCAACCTGGGAAATACAAAAAACCGGTATGGTTATGTCTGAACATGTATTTTTGATCACGCATAGATAATTGGCGTAAATATGTGATGAGATTGTTGTTCGAAGTGTAGTAGGTTGCTCAAATACATCACATAGCACATTATTTTTCAGGTAATCTCCATTTCTTCTAATATTAAATATAACACTATTCAAATTTATTCAACAAGTATTATCAGTTATCGAATTTCTTTTCGCTGGATGTGTTAATCATCTTTAATCCGTTCACTTACTAGCCATCGTTTGTTTTTATTTTTTTTTCTCTGATTTATTCAGGTGCACCTGTCTTTCCTTTGTTCACAAAACCAAAACGTGTTCTGGAAGGGGATATCATTCGCATCATATGCTCTGTAAGCAGTTATCCGAAGGCATCATCAGTACTGTGGAGTTTCGCTCCGATACCGACTAGTCAAATGGAGGATGACAATGCCCTGACATCAGCATTATACAGTTTAGAGCCATTAGTGATCAATGAAACTAATTTTCTGCTGGAGACAAGTAGTGAAAGTGGCACGAGAAATGATACTCTACGATTCCTTAATCTGAAAAACAGTGACAATGGCCTGTATGCGTGTAATGTGACAACTGAATTGGGTTCAGATTTTGCTCTGTCGATTGTCAATGTTAAAGGTAATTATTTATTTATTTATTTAGGCTATTAATAACCTAAAACCAAAGCTTGTTAAAATCCTCATCCTAACTGACAGACATAAGAAGACTGCTTCTTCCAGCGAGCTCCGAATTTGATGAGGAGCGAAAGTTTCTTAGACGTGCAAACTGACAAAAATTCTTCACAATGATGGGCGATAAAAGCGAAAGAGTATTCAGTGATAGGTGGTAACACCAAACAACTTTTTAGGTTTATCATCAAGGAAACAAATGGCAACTGGCTTAGGATAAGTGAGACAATCTCCGAGAAAGGTGGCGTCCTAATTAGCTTTCAGGAGATAGACGACTGGAACGTTGTAAGGAGCGTTTTGAGGAACCATTTAACTGGTCATGCTCAACTTACCAAGCATCCAACACCTCCCTGAATGGGATATAACCACCGGTCCTCTATCCCTAACTGAGGTTACAAAAGCTGTCTCTAATCTGAAACGAGGCAAAGTAGCATGACCTGATGGAATGACTTCACTCACTTTCCCTCCTTACTTAACACTCGACACAACCTCAATATTACTCATCTTATTTTACCACCTAGCATGACCTATGACCTACGATGAAATACAACTAGTTTTCTCATGTCTTCCACTTTCAATAGCCATGTCTCACTGCCATAAATGAGAAGGAGCGAACTGGTGAGCAGTACACACGTCCTTTGATGAGAAGTCACATCCAGCGGGATCCACCAAGTTAGCCAAGAGGACAACCACTCGCCTATGACGTTGGCTGGCGGTTACGCTAAATATATCTCAAACAGACAGAAGTTGGATTTTATGGACTATTGGATCGGGTGTCAGTAGCTGAAAGGTCTACGAGCTCGCATTGGAACCGGAAGGTCCTGGGTCCGAACCTTGTTGGTTGGTGCATACTGATGAAGAGTCCCAGACAATGGTTCTCTAACTGCTCTCAGCTAATGATTAATCTTGTAATCCAATTATTCATTTTAATAGGTGGTCTCTTTAAGAAATGTATACTATGCCATGAATGAATGTACAGCTCAAGGGACCAGATTTCATTCACGTTGAATTGTATTCAGAAGCAATTCTCTGTTATTTAACCAGTTCACGTTAAATTGATTGCATTGCAGAGCATTTTAAATACACCAAGCTATAAGCCACATTTACTGTGTAAGGGCCAGTGACTCTGCCCAGTTGCCCATACTGAGACAGATGAAGCAGGATTCGAACCTGGGACCCTGTGTTCGCAAGCCCAACTTATCTCATTGCCTTTCACGGTGGTTTTTCAGCCACAAATTCCCGGGTTTGAATTCCACCACATTCATCTATTTCAACTTGTACATCCGTGTAGTATCATCAGACCTCATACAATAAGTGTAGCTCACAGTCTGATATGAGTAACCTTATTATTGATAACTGGAACTGCCTTCAGGTTCTACAGTTATAAATTGATGAATGTTAGAATACAAAAGTCAATATAGGCAAATCAACACTATATGAGAAACTATACTAAGGAAGTATCGTTTCAACGAGATGCGACGGATGAGGATGTCAAAGTTAACCAGAAATGGAAACGCCAGACAGACTTTCATCACTGTGAAATCACTTTAGAAATTTTCTGCACTCTATAATAGCATAAAGAAACGAATTCAGATTTTCAACACCAATGTTGAATGTATCAACCAGCTGTTCGAATATGTGTCAGATACGCGTCACGGAAAGCATTTCTAACAGGCTGCTGTTGCCGACTTTTATCAACAATTGCCTTCACTGACTCCATTTAGAAGATCATATAGTCAGCCAGAAAGAAGTAGTAACAAGATACTCTGGGGGCAGATTAACCAAGAACATCTTACTCAGCAAATATTTAGAAGAAGAAGGAGACAGTTGAGTGACACCACGCGACAGGCCATCACTCTAGTAGAACCCGAATGGGAAATGACAGGTTGAACGTGGATGATATGGAAGAGATCAGAGAAACAATCGGCAATAATGGGGTCAGCTAAAAGCGACCCCAGGAAATAGGGCTAAAAAGGAGGATTAGACGCATGTGTGTACTGATGACTGTAGGTAATAAAATAGACAGTTTGAAAAGGACTGATAAAATAAAGTGGGATATAATGAGTAAAAAAGCTTTATATAAGAGCGCAATTCAATGAAGCTAGAATTCATGGGCCATTGGATCGGGTCCCAGTGGCTTAATGGTCTATGAGCTCGCCTTGTAACCAGACGGTCCTGGGTTCGAACCCCGTTGGGTGCGTACTGATAAAGAGTGCCAAACTAGAATGAAACAGCTGTCCAGTACTCCCTGGTGGTTTTCCAATGGTTCTCTAACCAATGTCAGCTCATGATGAAATCCTGTAACCAATTACACTTTAGTTATTCAACCAGACGTATACTGACACAGTGCATTGAAGATAAGTTACCATTAGTAGCCCATATCAATGTGTGTATACAAATTTAACTGCTGCTTTAAAGCTAGTTACATAGGCCGTACTTAGAGGAATTTATGCTTAAACATTCAGGAACAGTTTGGCTTGGTTAAGGAGTAACCAAATCAATAAGTAGTGCTATTTTATCTCATTTAGTGGATAGGTGAGTCATTCACGGTTGTACATTGACACTACCGTGCCATCGGCTTAAAGGTAAGCAAATACGCACCCTCGTTATAGTTAAAGCTGTAGAGATTAATACGAGTAAACCTAACCTATACGTGCAAAAATAGTACATTCATTGTCTTTGTTTACCTTGACCTACTATAAGGTCATCCAGGACGTGATCATCTGACATTTTCACGTCCTTTTCATTTAGTTTACTCCACACCATTATTAGTATTTGTCACCTATTAGATTAACACCAAGCCTATTTTTTCTGTATTATTTGATTACAGTTCACTCTATAACCACTTTATTTTATTACTGTAACATACTTATCCTTATACGTATGAGAATAATGGTGTTAAAATTGGACTGTTATTACTGTTAGTGAGGACAAATACTTGCTGCAGATGAAATTGGCTGGTTACCAGTCGCGCAATAAATATATCATGAATATTGGTGTAGAAGGTAGAATTCATGAGACTGACCATTGAGTCGAATCCCAGTGACTGATTGAGATCTACGGGCTCTCCGTCTTGTAACTGGGGGATCTTGGGCTCGAACCCCGTTGTTAGTGTGTGTGGGTGTGTACTGATGAAGAGTTCCGAACTAGAATGAAACAGCTGTCCAATACTGATATCAGTCCGTGGTTATTCAGTCCTGGAGCCAATCACATCCCCGCAAAGTAGCAATGTTTTAGGTTGTATTATTAATAATTGTGTCTTATTATGATGATAAAGAATAGTATTTTGTTTATATTTCAAATAAATTGTTTTTATTTAATTATTTATAAATTATTTCAGATCGTTGGGCAGCTCTTTGGCCATTCATAGGAATTGTTGTTGAAGTTTCTATTCTAGTTATTGCTATCCTGCTATATGAACGTCATCAAATGCGTTCAAAGCCTACAAATGTGTCGGCGAAATGTGATACTTCAAGTGCTGGAGCTGGTGTTATTGGTCAAGAGAATATATCCGCAGCTGTTAACAATAATAATAACAACAACAACAGTAAAGCTAATAGTACAGGACAAAATAATCTTACAGTCCCAGTGCATATTGGCGATATGGCGGGTGGCGGTGAAGTGAATGATGGAAATGCGGAGGGAAGGTAATAAATATATATTCACAACTAGCTATATTCATATATATATATATATATATATATATATATATATATATATATTAGAATTACTATTTATTTTTTTCATGTTCTAAATTCAATTTTGATTTTCTCGTCTATTGATTAGACCGAAATGTGTCCGGACTCTCAGGTTGACGTGTCAACTCCTTGTGCGGATGCTTCGACGAACTCTCAGGATTGGCTTGAAGTAATTTTGTTAGTTGGATGGGTGACTCACCAGCAGTGAAATCCGCCAGGATGCGCATTTCTTCCTATTTAGGACTCGTAGTCAGCTGGTGGATGTATGTGGATTCCCCAGTAAGTCGGTGATGGTATTTCCACTGAGGCTTGAACCCCCAGTACCCATCGTTTCAACCACCAAAGCGTTATCCACTAGACTACTTACGCCACAAGAGCCACCTCTTGTGCAACAAGTGTCAATTATTATTATTATTATTTATTTTTAAATCAACTTCGATTTCTCCGTTGTTTGATTAGATCGAAATGTTCGGCCTCAGGTTGACATGTCGACATGTCTGTAAGTATGGTATGTACTTTGCACCGTCTAAGTGCAAAGTACTGTTACAAAATTGGCAGGAGCCTGTACCTGCACTCACTCTTGCGGGTGAACCGCTTGAAGTTGTTGATAAGTTTGTGTATCTGGGTAGTTGTGTGAGTGCTGGCGGAGGGGTGACGGATGAGATTTCCAACCGTATAATGAAGGCTAGGGTGGCATACATCAACTTGAGCCACCTCTGGCGCCGTCGCGACGTTAGCCTGGCTGTCAAAGGTCGGGTATACAATGCTTCGGTGAGGGCTGTCTTGCTCTACGCCTGTGAAACCTGGCCTCTCCGAGCTGAGAATGTGTGGCGACTCTGCGTGTTCGATCATCGCTATCTCCGCAGGATTGCTTGCGTTCGATGGCATCATCGCGTGAGTAATTCTGAGGTTCGGCGGCGTGTGTTTGAACACAGTGGAGATCACCATTCATTGAGTGTCGTCATGTGGAAACACCGGCTCCGGTGGCTTGGACATGTGCTGCGAATGTCATCCCAGAGGCTTCCGTACAGGTCTCTGTTCGCTAGCCCTGGGACGGGATGGAAAAGGCGGAGGGGTGGTCAGTCCATGACGTGGCGTCGTGAGATGAAGGATATTTGTGCTAGATTAGCATCGGTTGGTGTGTCACGACTCCCTGGTTGGGGTCCGCGAGATAGCTCGAATCGATGGCTCGAAACGTTATCGGATATGGCCAAGAATCGTAATCAATGGCGAACGTGTTGCAATTTCCTTCTTTCTTCCCTTCCTGATGATAGTTAACGAATACTGTTTGAACTTGTTAAACATGACTGTTTTCCTTCCAGATGAAGTTCTTTATCCGTTTTCTTCTTATATTTTTACCTTTAATCTATGTTGTTTTATTATTATTATTGTGTAGCGCATCTTTCTTGGTGCCATATCATACCAAGTTTTTCTGCGTTTAAACAAACAAAAACAACAAACATTGAGCCTAGGACTTAAGATACTATATTAGTCAAACTAATCCCTCTGTGATTATCACAAGAAGACTTGTCTCCCTTCTTGTATATCGGGATGATCAGTGACTTACACCAACGCGATGGGACTTCCTCTGATTCCCAGATGCTGCCTAGAATCTCAGTTAATGCAGACGCTAAACTGTCTCCAACGTACTTAAATACCTGTGGAGTCATTCCATTAGGTCCCTCTGCTTTGCCTTGCTGTGTGGCGCATCTTTTTTGGTGCCATATTGTACCAAGTTTTTTCTGCATTTAAATAAATATATAATAATAAATGACATGTCGATAATAAATGCTGTCTAGTGGATAGCACTATTATAGCGTTTGAAACTATGGGGGTACTGGGTTCGAGCCTCAGTGGGAAAAGCATCACTGACTCCACTGGGGAATGAATGCAAGTACAACCAACTGTGACGAGTCCCAACTAGGATGAATTGTGCTTTGTCCTGGATTATTCCTACACTGCTAGTCACCATTTACCAAATTACATAAAGGTTAAATCTTCTGACATCGTTGAAGCATCCTCACAAGGAGGGTCGACATGTTAACAGAGGCCGATCGTTTCAGTCCAATCAGTCAATCAACGCTTAAATCAAAAGTGAATTCAGTATAAATAATGAAATATTATAGTGTTTTGGCTATAAACAGACATTTTGATAGATTTGGTCAACACAACCAACAATCAGATTGAAGAATATTCATTATTATTAATGAAAACAAATGTGAAATACGCAAATTGTTGTTCGTATATTTGTGTGTGTGTATGTGTGTCTATGTATCTGTGCCTTAAATAAGACATGAAGTATGCATTCAACTCAGCCATTTTGGTTAGTATTTAATACCGTTTCTGACCTTGTCTTAACGAAAATACAAGTAGAAAATTCAATGAAATTTTATTGTTATTTTTAATGTTGGTTCAAAAATATGAAAAGACAAAAACAACTCGTGAATTGTTTACATGTAGATATATAGAATTTCAGTTAATGAACTTTAGGCACCAAGTGTATTTATAATAGAATAAGTCGGTTATTGATTATTCAGTCACATTTAGACTCTGTGTGTTTGCGGGTGAATAGTGAACTTGTTTAATCCACATTTTTACTACCGTATTAGCTTATCGAAAGTTCAAAAGTTTTTTATACTTTCTGGCTAAGTAACTATGTCAGATAGAACCTTAAAGGTATAAAAGGACGGGGGGGGGGGTGGGCTGCGTCACTGTGTGTGTTATGCTGATTATTTAATGTTTCAATGATTAGTGTACACATTTCTAATCTGGGGTTTCTAATGTCGCATGGCTGTCAGTTAGAGACACAGCTCAAGATTAGGCCATATATATATGACAGAGATCAGTAGTCAATATCTGCTTGGCGATGTTTAGTTACCTCTCTTATTCACTTTAATTGTTAATAAATAGTTAGATCAATAGAATTACAATTAGGAATTAAAATGTCATAATAAACGGGGGGGGGGGGACGGATAAAGCTCAGACAAAGTAGCATCATAATTACTGGGAAGATTGACATTGATTGTGCAATTAAGGGTTAGAAATGTAGAAATAACAACAATAGACAGGATGTTTGGATATGAAAATTTGGTAGTGTAAATAGGGATTAAGAAAAACTTAAAATTATCATTATTATTATTAACATGAATAAACAGGGATAGTCACTATTAGAAGAATTATCTTGTTATGATGGCCACGGCAGGGACAACTGTTGAACGTATTTCTTTTGGATACATAGTGTGGGTTTGTGCTTTTGGATGGCTAGTGTATTCGGCCACTTCAACGTGCATATACCAGTTTACTTGCTCTTGCGGAGTTGAGTAGTACATCGGCTGTACCATGCACCAATTTGAAAAACGCGCTCGTAAACACTATCCAGCCTAGCTAGTAAAAGGAGAACGAAAACGGGTATATAGTTCAGTGACAGAACATCTGGTCAATTCAAGACATTCAGCGCCATTCGAAAAATCCTTCAAAATAGTATACAAGATTCGATCAAATCTATCAAAGGGAGTAAAATTAAGACATCTGGGAATAGCCGAAGCACTAGCCATCCAAATGCTCAAACCCACACTATGTATCCAAAAGAAATACGTTCAACCCTTGTTCCTGCCATGACCATCATAACAGGTAATTCTTCTAATAGTGACTATCCCATTGACTTTCTTATCCAAACTTCCTGTTTATTGTTGTTATTTCTACATTTCTAACCCTTAATTGCACAATATGTCAATCTTCCCAGTAATTATGATGCTACTTTGTCTGAGCTTTATCCGTCCCCCTGTTTATTATAGCATTTTAATTCCTAATTGTAATTCTACTAATCTGAACATTGACCAGGAATTATTCTGGAACTTACCTACCCACTTATTATAAATACATGAGTGTACAGCCTAGTTGATGATTTCGTCGGAAAGAAAATTTTCTTCACTGCAATTGTCTTTTTTATTCCCAATGATCAAATGTGTGTATTCCGTGATTTGAAAATAGTTAGATCTAATACAAAATAGGCTTTTTACTGTTTTACACCAGAATTACATTGGTTCTTTGTCAATCAATTAAAACTTGGTTAGTTGGTTAGTTAGTTAAGCAGAAAAGATTTTCCGTGTGCCACATTGTGACCGAGTCAACCATTCGGATTTTTTTAACACCAATGTTAAGTCAGTCACTCAGTTGTTCTATGTGAGTCAGAGATTTGACGAGCACGTAATGACAGGCATAACCAACAGCTAACTGAAGACTTTTATCAACAGCTGCCTTCTCTGGCTCTCTACAGAAGATCAGGTGGCCGGTTGCGAAAGGATTAGCACCAAGAAACTCTAAGGATGAACCGATCAAGAACCTATTGCACAAAAAAATATTCCGAAGAAAATGGAGATGGATTTGGCACATACTGAGAAGATTGTTGAGCGACATCACGCACCAGCCCATCACTCGAGTGGAAGCCAAGCGGGAGACGACGAGTAGTGGGTGACATGGAGGATATGAAAACTTTTGGGCAATACTTGTGGGAGAGGGGGGCGTCACAGAGAACAAGACAAAATACAAACACGTGCTGCTGAAGCCCTGTGTTTCACCCGGAACCGAAGGGAATGATAGGGATAACGTTGTGAGCCACAATTATTGTTTGTTTGAGGTTGATAAAACTATTCAACAATTGCCTTGCCTTGGATGACATAAATGGAATGCGATTCGATCAGTGAAATCCATCTACTGATCATGGATAATACCAGTAAAATAGCCACAAAGACCAGTTTATTTTTGTATATAACTTGATTAAATCAACCAGCTCAGAGAACACATCTAGACGATAGTAGAGAATATTTAAAAATACACAGTACCAGTGTTTATTATAAATTGATGACTTTTAATTGGACACTAGTTAGTAACTACTATAATGTGTCTAGTTCTATCTTAGGTGCGGACTGAATTCTATTGGTCACGTTGGC